ACAGGTGTAATGAGGCCATGTTTCCAAAGTGATGGGTTGACACCGGCAACTATGGATAAGTTTATAATGACAGTTATTTAAAGGGTAATTGCGGCTCACCTTTTTTGCTGACTCAAAAATCGATGTGGTGTGTAAACTGTTTTCTATTCTTTGGCGTTGTATTTACATTTATTAGACTTATTTTGTGAAGATATTTTTTAGGTTGGATTATTTTCTTCTTTTTATATATCCAGGCTGAAGGGTGATGTCAGCACTGTTCGTTTTGAGAGATTTGCAAGTTACTTTAGCTTTTTAATGTCGTCATTTGTCTATGGAGCAGGGGGAGGGATGCCTAACAACTTCGATCTTATAGGCAGCAGTTGGATCTATACTATTTTTAGCACGCTCGTGAGAAAGGCTACTATCTGTTAACATCCCCAGTCACTGATATTTTGGTAGACTGGGGAATGCAATTTGTCAGGTCGCAGGAACTTTTTATGTCACGTCACTTGTGTGTGATGAGTCATCACTGTAGTCTTGTTTCAAGGTAAATATAACCAGATAGCTCCACTTCCATTTAACATGTTGAACCCATATATGAAACTGACATTTTCTCATGGAATATTTTGACATCGGTTAATGGTCAGGAAGTCTTCGTTATCATAAATAAAAGAAGTAAAAATCATTTTATTTCTGGTAATTATAAATATATTAAGTAAATCATAGAAATAATTGAGTGTATAGTTATATCTAATATCTCACAGCACACTTTCGTTGGTTAAACATGACATCATTAACTCCATCCCTTTTCTTGATCTGATCAATCAGTGCAATATATTATGATGTTTTTTATTTGCATTTTCTATGGAATTGGTTTAGTGATGACAATGGTAGAAAAATGAATGAAAACTAAACCAAGAAAATAATTCATATCTGTAAATTGCAATGAATAAAGGTAACTCGGAAGTTGCCAGCAAGATTTTTTCATCAAGACTTACTGAGGTTGCCTGTTTCGACATGATGCAAGGCGAGGTGGAGTATATATATATATATATATATATATATATATATATATATATATATATATATATATATATATATATATATATATATATATATATATATATATATATATATATATATATATATATATATATATATATATATATATATATATGTAAGAAGTATCCTTAAATCAAATAAAATCACTACATCTGTAAAAAAAAAAAAAAAAAAATACACCTTGATTTGTGTTTAGGAGGTTTCAATGTATTTAATTTTCTTAATAACCCCTGCTAAGCGTGTGATTTATTTAGGTCGTCATTTAAGTCACCTATGATGGAGAAAAAAAATCTTATTTCCCTAAAAAATCTCAAAGGTAGTCAAGTGATTTAGCTGTAGCACAATGGGGGATGTATTTTTTACAGATGTAGTGATTTTATTTGATTTAAGGATATTTCTTACGTATATACATAAAACACCTCGCCTTGCATCACGTCGATAAACAATAAAAATAAATGGTTAATGTTTAATAGTTGAAACAAATAAATGTGCTAAACATCAATGGTCACATGCTACTATGGTAAAATATTTTGGCGAAAAGGGTAAAGAAGAGTTAAAGATTAGTATAAAAGATATTGGATGTCACAAGATTAGAGAGCGTTATATGATAGTCTGGTAGTGGAAAGGGAAAAAGGGGGAGCAAATGAAGTAGAGCTGAGATTAGTAAAAAGGAAAGGGTTAAGGGGGTAGGGCGATTGAGCTAATTGAGGAAGGAATAAGGACTTTCTTCAAGGAAAACAGAGATGACTCTTGGAGAAGTAGGAGAAAAATCCGGGGGATGAGAAGGGGGACTGAGGAAAGGGAAGTATCAGAAAGAGTGTTAGGAACGGCGTTCTAGAGAAGGACAATGTTGTAACAAGGGATTCACGTGGGCATTCAGGTGGGAGCGGTAGAGAGGATGGTGTGTGTAGGGAGAGTGTAGGAGGAAGGGGGATGGGGGGAACTTGAGGAGGAGGAGGATGGATATCCGCAAATACTTTAAAAGTAGAGGGAGTAGGAACAGAGGGATTGGAGGGTGAATGAGGGAGTGGAGTATTCCCTTAGGTCATAATTAGTAAGTTTTGGATGTCTTCAAGAGTTTCTGGAGGGGATTGGGTGAAGAGGACTGGGAAACAAAGGTTCTCTTGTGAGAAGGAGAAGAGGGGATAGATATCTGAGGAGCAGAGGAAGAGGAGGGTGTTGGAGAGGATGTGGTACAAGGTGGAGTGGAACGTTTAGGTTGCCTGACGCGACACGTACGGGGAGGAGGAGTAGGCATCAGGGAAGTGGTAGAGATACTGGTAGAGATGCTGAGACATCTTGAGAAGATGGCAGAGGAGTAGAGCGAAAGACAGACTTGGAGTAAATTGAAAGCAAAAAATCTCGTAGCCATGCTTCCTGTCTGGCCTCATATAGAGTGAGGCCGAGCTTGACTCTTGAGAACTGCTACCTCACATTCGAGCTTATAGGCAAGGCATTA